TTTGGCATGACCCTGAAAAGTCTGGGGGTGCTGAGCCCATCAGCTGCTGTAGTACAGTTGGGTGACAGACTCATAAAGGGGACAGAGACCGCCTTGGAGGTCAGGTCTCAGGTGCCCAAAGCAGGCCCCAGTTGGTCTTAGAAAGCTCCATGGTGGCAGCTTACTCCCTGCAGGAGCCTCAGTCTTGGGCAAGGAGTGGAAAGGCCCAGACAAGTCCTGCAACTTCAGCTACCATGTCTCTGCTCCGCCGAAACTATAAAGCAGGGGTGCTCGGGAGCCGGCTTGTCCTGGCTTGTGAGGGCTGCTGGTTAACTATTCGGGAATGCGGCAGAGCCAACCGACGTCAAATCAGCCTCTTGAAACCAGCTAAGGTGGGAATTATTTACACCACGGAAACTGGCGGCCGCTACCCACCAGGTGGTTTGGCTTTTCCTAGATGCTAAGCATTTACCAGCACGCCGACCTGTCGCAGACAATATCTTCACACCTACAAAAGCCTGGCCACGTCTCAAGCGGCCACAGCAGTGGACGGGCGATAGCGTGGCTCTTCCACAAAGAGGCAATCAGCACCCTGGCAGCGGCTAAATTCCAGCGTTGTTTCTGGGGCTGAACACACGCTGTCTCTGGCGGCAGAGTCGTCTTTGATCTAATTAAGCCCGACCCGGGGCCGATGTGAGCCTGCACTCTGATCGCACACCAAGGCTGTGCTGAGCTGCACGCTGGGAGGCCGGGGAGGCTCCACCGCCCATGGACTCCACTGCCAAGGGGGTCCCCCAAGGCCGCCTGGCCGTCAGGAAGAAGGATTCAAGCTCAAGCCCTGTAACTCAGGGACCCCAGGAAAGCCACTCAACTCCTTGGGTGACAGCTTCCCTGTGCAAACAGGGGGTTGGGCCAGGGTCCCTTTGGGCTCTGTTGCCAATGAAGCTGAATCTGCCAAATCAAGCAGAGCTGGGGCCGGGGCTGGTCGGGGTGGGGGGGGGGGCCGGGGATCCCGGACTCAGCAGGGGCACTCCTCTGGACCTCTCTCAACCCAGAGCCTCGGAGGGTCCCAGCAACGAGGAGCCTGCCAGTGACACGGACCAGAGACAGCAGAACCTGGCCAGCCCCACAGCCCCCGGGGACCCTCCCTCGACGGCAGCTCTCTGCCCGAACAACTGAACCTTATAGGCTTAGGGGTCTGAAGAGGCGCCATGCCATTCGTGGGCCCGGCTCGCCCATCTCCTCCCCGGCTGCTCCCGGGAAGCAGAGAGCAGCCGTGCGTCAGGGAGCATCACGGCGGCTGTCAGCGCCGTGATGCCTGCCAGGAGGGCTGGCGGACTCAGGCCTCCTTTCCCCTCTGCCCTGGGGCAGTGGAGCTGACTGCTCGACACCCTGGAGAGAGGGGTGTGACGGAGACACGGGTGACACACAGGCTGCAGTTGCCTGATGCGTGCCCACAGGGGTGGCGCTTTTGGTGAGAGGTCAGCAGTGCAGAAGGGCACGGGTCAGGAGGGGGTGGGCCCGTGGGTGGCCTTGAGCTCAGGGAACAGGTGGGTGAGAACTTGGGGCAGAATTTCTAAACGCTAGCTTATTGGAGGCAACAGAAAGAGCCTGTTCGAGTCTGGGTAGCCCTGGGGACTTTGCTGGAGTCAGCGGGGCCAGGCGTGTCCTCCGGTAGGCACGCACCCAGGCCTGGCCAGCCTCTTTGGCTGTGACTGTCAGAAGCAGAGGCTTGGCCGAGGCACAGCAGGAGACTCTGGGGATGGCTGGGGGCTGGGGGCTGGGGGGAAGGACCCATGACGGTGGCTCTGCAGGGCCCAGCTGGGAGTGGGTGGTGCTGTTGGGGTCTGAGTGGTTCTACTGATCTGGGTTCTAATCCTGTTTCCTTTTTTTTTTTTTTTTTTAATTTTTTTAATGTTTGTTTATTTTTGAGACAGAGAGAGACAGAACATGAGCGGGGGAGGGGGAGAGAGCGAGAGGGAGACACAGAATCTGAAGCAGGCTCCAGGCTCTGAGCTGTCAGCGCAGAGCCCGACGCGGAGCTCGAACTCATGAGCCGTGAGATCATGACCTGAGCTGAAGTTGGATGCTTAACAGACTGAGCCACCCAGGTGCCCCTAATCTGGGTTCTAATTTCTAAAGCAGCTTGTCACCCTGGGCTAATGAACCCATACCTGGGGCTCAGTTTCCTCAGTCATAAAGTGGTGCAGTGATGTCGCAAGCATTCAAGGAGATTTTAAAGTGTTTTGCATCGGGTCTGACCCAGGCACGCGCTCAGGGAATTGTGTCATGATAATCGTTATCATGACTGTCGTGCTGTCACAAACCCAGGGCTGGGCCCCACAGGCCCTGGTCCTGGGTCCTTCCCACCTGGGACCATCCCCAGAGTCTGCTGCACAGCCTCGGCCTAGCCTCTGCTTCTGACACCCCCAGCTGAGGACGCTGGCAGAACCCGGGTTCATGCTCACCATGGGATGTTCCCGGCCCTTTCCAGGTCTCCCTGGGGCAGAGGCTCTCTGCCTCCTGGGACTGTGGGCCGGTTTGAGCGAGCCTGGTGACCCCTTCCTGAGTGAAGGGCCTCTCCAGGTCCTCTTGACGGGGCAGAGGGATGGGCCCTGAGGCCGGCACCCACGATGCCTGGTGCTCACCCACACGACCTGGCCCAGGACTGGGGATGTGGGGGCAGCATGGACAGGGGAGCTGGCGATGGCCCTGGTACACTGAGGCCAGGGTCCGCGAGTGACTGGGCTTTATTATCTCTTCTGCTTGGTCACACTGCAGAAAGGGCTGGGGTCTGGGATTTCAGCCCCCAACTGAATACTCACTACATACGAGGTGCGAGACCACACCGAGTGGAGCCTAGCTTTTGCCATCAGAGTGACTGTGTGCGATGGCCGCCTGTAGCTGCTATGGGCATGGTTCTATCTCCTGTCTCAGAGCGATGAGGCCCCGTCAGGCTGTCAGGTGGGCCCCCCAAGGCCAGTGAGGGCTCCATCCGTGCCCCAAGTTGCCCCAGGGTGACTGCAGGTGCCCATTTATAGTGTAGATCTCCCCACATGACAGGGGGACCTGGGCTCCCGGAGCACCTGTGTCCTGCTACCTGTCCTTGGATTTGAACCTGGGCTGGGGACTTTGCACAGGAGCTTCCTGAGCCCCCTCCCCTTCCAGCAGAGAAAAGGGAGAGCGGAGAGAGAAAGAGCAAGCTGAGACCCACGGGGCCCCACATCTTTGGAACTGACAGCGTCTTTCTGAGAACTTTGTCTCCAAACAAAGAAATCTTTTAGCAGGTCGGGATCACCAAGCCTTTCTACTCTGGATTTCCTCCTCAATCCTCCAAGCTAACCTCACGGAGAAGTCTCAAGCCTCACGTCCCCAGAATCACCTCTCCTGGGTGAATCAGGGGCTCACATCCTCTCCCCATACCATGGCCAGTTGAATTGCATTTCTGAAGAGCAAACGTGCTCCCTCTTCGGCGGGGAGGACGGAGGAAGGCGGGAAGGGAGGAGGGGCGGGCCGTTGAAGAGCGAGTCCGTCCCGCTGTCTTTACCCAGTGCTGATGCCTGTTCCTGCGGGGCGCAGCTGGGCCCCAGCACGGCTGCGGGAGAGCGGGGGAGCATCCCCAGGAAGCCTGCCTTCTGGCTGGGGATCCACACCCTTCACACCCACCCAACAGATACAGACCCACGTGCCAGGCACGGTTCTAGATGCCGAAGAGTTAGCGACAGACACAATTCGGTGTCCCTGCTCTTACGGCGCTCGCTTCCGAAGGATGGGGCCGGGGGGTGGGGGGGGCGGGGGCGGAGGAGACACAAGAAATGACTAACGCTGGGGTTGTAACAACGTGCGTGAATTACAAGAGATTTTGCTGGGTGAAAGAAACCTCGCCTAAGAGGACGTGCGGTAGGAGTCCATTTATATGAAGTTCTCGAGCGGGAAAGACGAGTCCCTGGATGGGGGGAGTTCCTGGGGCGACGGTAACATTCTAAAGCTTGCTGCGGGCTTGGGTTCTGTTCACGCATTGATCACAACTCCTCAACTAGGACTTCGACATTTGTGCATTCAGTTGCTTCGTTGTGTGTGAATTTTACCTCAAAAATAAGAGGAGAACTGTAGGTACGCCGAACTCGGGCGAATGATAACGATACCTGTGCTGACATGCTTGTGTTACCGTTGTCTGCAACTTAGTTTGAAATGCATGGAAAATGCATCAGATGGATGGAAGGACTTGAACTGATAAAACAACATAACATGTTAACGGTAGAATCTGGGTGGTAGGTCTAGGGTGCTTGTAAAATTCCCTCGACTTTTCTGTATATCTTAAAATTTCATGATACGATATTGGTGATGGGAACAGAGCGGTTTGCCAGAGAGCCAGGGAAAGTTAGATGATGTGTCAGGAGGACCCCACTCGGGAGCTGACGGTTGAGCGGAGACCTGAATCTTAGAGTCAACTATGGAAGCCCAGGGTGGCCTCCAGGCAGCAGGAAGAGCAGGTGCAAAGGTCCTGGGGCCAGCAAGCTTGGCTCAGGTGAGGGGCAGGAAGAAGTCGGCGAGGCCGGAGAGCGCTGTGGGAGAGGAGGGTAAAGGTCAGGGGTGCAGGCCCTCGGTGGCCTGGTAAGGGTTTGGCCGTTACTTTAAGTGCCATGCGCCTTACTAAGCTGGTTGAAAGCATGAGCCTTGGTGAGGTTTGGGATGGGAATGGCCCTTTGTGTTCCTTTGTGGAGAATGGACCACACGTGCAGGAGTGATTCACACTGGTGCAGAATAAAGTTGTGGCTGTAACTCGGTAGCAGCAGCAGACAGGGAGATGGGGATACAGCTGAGACATTTTTTGACGGGAGGAGGGCAGCGGGGAAAAGTGGGGTCGAGAATGGTGGGCTCGAGTCCCGGGGAGCAGCGCTGCGGCAGGAAGGTGAGCGCAAGAGATCGGATTCCGCTTTGGCTGCGGGAAGGCTGAGATGCCGATTCCGCATTTGGGCGGGATGCCGAGCAGACGGCTGGATGTGAAAGTCCGGTGCTTCGCGGTGAGGTCAGGGTGCAGGTGCAAGTGTGGGCGTCTTCAGCCTGGAGCTGGCGTGTGAGGCCGTGAGAGTGGGTGAGAAGACTCAGGGAGGCAGTGTGGATAGATCAGGGGCCTGCTAACATGAGGGGTGGAAGCAGAGGGGAGGAGTCTGCGGAGAACAGGCAGCGGGGGAGGCGGCCAGGGGGGGCCTCTGCGGCAGGAGGGGAGAACATTCCGGAAGGAGTGAGCGGCCAACGTGGTAGTTGCCGTTGGGGGGTCAGGAAAGAGGATGCGGTGACACGACCTTTGGATTTCACGTTTCGGAGGCCGTGGGTGAGCCCCAGCTGGCCTCGGTGTGGCACGTGGCACGGGAGGGAGGAAGAGCAGGAGGGGCAGGGCGAGGGGAGAGCGGGTGGGGCGCGTATCTGAGGACTCCCGCAGCATTTTGTGCCAGCAGTTGACGGGGATGACCCAATGGGGCAGACAGGGGCGAGGGAGAAGCAAGGGGGCAGGGCCGCAGGACGAGCAAAGAAAGACACAGACGGGACTGCTGAGGACAAGGACTGCGTGAGGCCAGCCGGTGCCAGAGACTTCCACAGGGGCCGCCCTGCCATGCTGTGCCTCTCGCTTCGGGCCCGACGAGGACCTGCGTTAGGCAGGAGCAGGCGCACGGCCGTCATCCCCCGGTAGCCATGTGGCCGGGAAGGTACGGTCCCCGCTAATACACCCCGTCACCAGGGAGGACTCTGGAACAGGGGAGTGGAAAGCCCCCAGGATGTCCTGCCCAGTGTGGGAGTGGTGGCGGGGATGGCGAGAAGTCTCCTTCGGGCTTCCCAGAGCCCTTTACAGGGAGGAGAGCAGGAGAGCCGGGAAGGGAGGAGTGAGGAGTGGGGAGGCGTGTGCTCGCCTGTGCACCCCCCTGAGTCTGGAGTGTGTACTGTCTTGCATGGGAATCGCTCTCTCCTGAGGGCCACTGCACTCTTAACGGTGATAAAAGCAGCCACGATGGCCTGTCGTGGACCAGAGCGTGTCCCATGCCGGGGCCGGCCAGCTTCGCCAGCTGGGGTCCCGCCTGGGGCCCCGAGAGAGCCCCTGACCTTCACACATGGAGCTCGTCACCGAAGACTTGCCCATCGACTCTATCAAATGACGTCTGCGTTTCACTCTTGGCCCTTTGAGTCTTCTTCAGAAGCAAGATGGAAAAGTGTTTCCTTCAGGCAAACTTTTGTCTTTCGCTTTGGAAACCCCCTTTTCCCCTTTGCTCCAGAGGAGATTAGGATATTGAGGACAGGGTGTCCACTGAAGATTACACGAGAAGGCTAATTAAACAGAGGCCCCCGCATTAGAAGCCATCTAGAGGGGAAATTAAGCAGCTTTTGCCTCCTTCCCGTCTTTGAAGGATGTTCTGTGGAAGGGGAGCAGGGATTGTTTGGCTCGATAAATAAAGATAGTAACCAAACTGTATCGTCCATTGTTCTCCCTTTCTATTAAAAGCAATTGCTTAGCCAAGCTGACAACACACACCGCGGAGGCATAAACCCTCTGCAGACGGAAGGATTAAGAGACTGACAAGTCCTGGATAATAAGGCTAATTAATAATTCCCATCTCCAAGGAGCGGCAGCCTCCTTCCTGCTCTGCCTTCCAGTCTGGTCCAGGCAGTTCAGCCCTCTGAGGGCGGAAGGACACAGGAGGCTTTGCAGGACAGGCCAGGGTAGGCGCTGGCCGGTTGCAGCAGGGCAGGGGGCCGAGGGGACACGGTGGCGGGGGAGTGAGCAGCCTACCGATGGCTGGGATGTGAAAGTTCCACCTCACTAAGTGAGGGCCACGCTGCAGGTGAATTCGCAAACGGGGCCCGTTGCCACACAGGCACATGGGAGGGACAGCATTTTGCCACATGAAAGGTGGTCCGGATGAGACCCTCTCAGAGGCCCCCTCCCCGACGACAGCCACACACACAATCCCGTAGAGCAGGAGCTGCCGCACGTTGTCACGGGAGGTGATGAACAGAGCCACCCTTTGTGGGCCTTAGCTCAGTTCTTCCTCCCAGTGACCTCGTGAGAGACGCCCCGCGTGCCTATTTCGCAGACAGAGGAAGGGATGAGATTCAAAGAGGGTCATTCACTTGGCCGGAGTCCGTGGCTCGGAAAGTGCGGAGCTGAATTTAAACCGTGCGCCCGGGGAGGGGGTCTCCCCACTCAGCTCAACACCCTCCTCGTCCACAAGGTGGGGGCAGAGGGTCCCGCCTGCCCCGAGGACTCCGGCTGCCCTGGCCGCTGAAATTTGCAAGGTGAAGGTCCAGCAGCGGAGACCTGATTACAGGTTGCTCCCCGCTGCCCCCAGAGAAGGAGATCAGGATGAGGGAATCTTCTGGAAAATACCCAGTGACTTTCCTCAGAGGGAATAATGGCTGCGTTGGGGGGATGGCCATATTTTTCTGGAGGCTTTAGGTGGGTGCAGCAGGGGCCTCGGCATCATAAATTGCAATCAAGCAAAGATGTCTAAGAAGGAAATAATACCGGGGCTGCTGTGCAGCCTGGCAAAGATCCTGAAATCTTAATGGAATTGAGCAATTTTTTGCATAGCACCGTAAATTCCTAGTGTCTACCTTATCTTCGCATCATGTTATTCAAGGCACATTAATGGAGGACGAAGTGGAAGCTGCTGGTCGGGATAGAACCGGCACGAGGAGGCGGCTCGGGAGTGATCCCTCTGATCCCGCGGTTCAGCCTTAGCTGCCTTCTCTGCACCTGCTCCTTCCCTGGCTCGCTGGTCTCTGCTGTGCTCCCGCAGAGGAAACGCCCGCCCGCCCACCAGGGTTTTGTTCTATTACCCTGACCCGCAGCCTCTCCACCCCCCCCCCCCCCCGGGCGCCTGGGAGGCCGCTGCCCTCTCCTCTCCTCCCCTGCACCACCCCTGCTTCGTGCGGCTCCCTCCACTCGCTTCTCCTTCAGCGCCGACACCTTCCGCGGCCCTGTCCTATTCCCCACAGACCTGGCGCTTCTTTCCAGACTCTGCCCGCCGCTGCAATGAGCTACCAACAGGGCCATTTGCCGGGAGCTCCTCTTTCCTGAAGCATGTTCCCCGGGTGCCCCCGCCGCATTTCTACCTGGGGGTGACAAAGTACCGGCCTCACGGGCACGCACGGGGCTTCGTAGCACCTGGGGCATGGGAGCCCACAACCTATGATGGCTACTGTTACTCTTACCGATACCGATGGCGATAACCACCTTTGACAGCCTGGAGGAGACCCCACGGCGGCATCGAACCTGTAACCTCTGGTGGGTAGGCCCCGTCTCTCCTGCTTTCCTCTCCCGGCCCCAAGCCCACATGGGGAGGGGGAGTCTCCCACACACTCCCTCCAAGTCACTTGACTGACACCAGGGCCTGGGACACTTGTCCTGAGGGCTCCCCAGACTCTGGGTGCCTGGTCTGTGAGACTGAAGCCGGTGGAGCTGGGACCCCACGTGGCCTTGTTGGTCCTTCCTGTCGCTGTGCTCCGTGGCCCACGCCTGCCACATGTCAGAAAGGGCAGGGAAGAACATCCTACTGCCTTCCATCCTGAGCTCGCCTCCTCCTCCAGGAAGCTTCCCCTGACCACCCAGCCCACTCTATGGCCCCTTCTCTGGATTTATCTCATCGACCGGCTTCAGGTGCACCCACTAGGCCAGCAAGGTGCCCCGGGCGTGGAAATTCAGGGTTGGAAAAGTGACTGTGATGCCGTGGGGTCCTTCACCTGTCTCTT